CTTTCCCTGAATGCCTTTCTATCAAAGATCAATCTATCCTTTAAACCCCCCCTCAAATGCTACCTCCAGGAAGTCTTCCCTATTCATCTTCACTGAAAATAATCTGTAGTCTGTACTCCCTCTCATACTACTTACATCATGTCTTGTATTGGCATTCTCTATACTTATATCCTCACTCTTCCAGTAGGCTACTTGATAAAAGGGCATGCCTTATATGCCTCCCTCTTCCTCATACTCTGTTCAGGTCTGGGCATACAGGAAATGTCAGTTAATAACAAGAAAACAAGTAAATAAATAAAATTTGATCATGACACTCTCCTATCTAAGCTCTTTCAATAGCTTCCATTCCATTCAGATTAAACCCAAACTTTCTAAACCCAATTGTTCACTTCTCCAGTGTCATCTGGAGAAGGGGGCACCACCTCCCCTTTGTCCTACATATATGCTTCTCCTCTATATGCCCTTTGAGCATATAGAACTCTTTCTGGCCTTGGGGCCTTCACACATATTCTTCTCTTTCTGAAACCCACTTCCTCCCATTAATTTCCTGGTCCACAATTTGACATTTAAGGTTTCACCTTAAAAGCCACATACTCAAAAAAATACCCTCTTGGATATATATCATGAGGGCCCTGGCAGGAAACAGGTAGCACATACCAAGTGGGGTAAATGTTAAGAAAGGGCTATGGACCAAGGTGTGGACAGAGTTTATAAACACCAACAAGAAATCATGAGCCCTAGCCAGTTTGGTTCAGTGGATAGAGCGTCAGCCTGGGTTCAATTCCAATCAAGGGCACATACCTTGGTTACAAGCTCCTCCCTGGCCTGGGCCCTGATTGGGACACCAATTGATGTGTCTCTTTCACATCGATGTTTCTCTCTGTCTTTCCCTCTCTTTTCCACTCTCAATGGAAAAATATCCTCAGGTGAAGATTAACAAAGAGAGAAAGGGGGGGGAAGGGAGAAGCTCCTTCCGCTATCTCACAGTGCTTTTAAAAGCAACATGGAGAGAGAGAAAGAGAGAAAGAGAGAAAGAGAGAAAGAGAGAAAGAAAGAAAGAAAGAAAGAAAGAAAGAAAGAAAGAAAGAAAGAAAGAAAGAAAGAAAGAAAGAAAGAAAGAGAAAGAAAGAAAGAAAGAAGTCACAAGTGCAGTGTCGCAGGACTATCAACAGCGAGCAGACATTACCTTGCTCAGGCCTGAAGCAGGAGGGGAGGGAATGTGTACAAGAACCTGGAGAGAATAGGTGTAAGAAGAAGGCTACCTTAAAGTACTGGTGGCCTTCAGTAGAAGGTCACAGTTAAGCAGGAAAACCTAGTAGAGAAGGGACTAGGGAAGTAAATACCCCACCCCATTCTCTCACTGTCCCAACCAATGACCAATCCCCAGTTGGAAGCAGAGGGGCTCTTTAAGGCAGTCTGTGCAGGCCAGCCTCCTGGGAAGGGTGGAGGTGGGAGGAAGGTTGACAGGGTGGTCAGCAGCTACCCAGCACATCACCCATTCTCAAGTAAACCCTCCTGTTCTTCTGCCTCATAGCAACACATGCTTTTTCATCTAAGTATTCAATCAAATTTTCACTCTGACCCTTTTTTTGCTTAATGTCTATGAGCACCTTCAGACGGTAAACCCCATGGCCATGAAGACATAAGCCTGGCTTGATGTGCTGGCTCACTACAGCATTCCCAGAATCTAGTTTATAGGAGGTGCTGAATAAATCCTGCTAACGAATGGGAGAACACAGGCATCAGTCAGAGACACAGCCACATGTATAATTATACACATACATAGCTCAGTTTCAAAGGGAGAAACCTCCTCTACAGAATTAAGGAATGCCAAGACATTTCATATCAAAGTCAGTTCAATGAAAACAAAATGCTGCCTAGCGTAGACACTCACACTCTAACTTCAAAAAGAGCTGGTCATTTTCTAGTAAAAGAAAGAGTCCTTCCTATTACCTACTATGGAAACACTGTGAGCCAGACTAGAGAAGCTATCACTGTGCTGTACAGAACTGTTATCTTCCCCAGTCCACAATGCAGATTTAAATAAGGTCGAGTGGAAGTATTCCCCTTGAACTCTGTTCTCCACAGACCTCGGAAGCTCCCAAACTCAACTTCACAGCTTCAAAAGAAGGAAAGCGCTAACAAATCCCTAATTTCCTCCTTCTGGTCTTGAGATTTTATGCATCTTCCAAAAGATTAGATTTCTCTTAGCTCTTGTGGTAACAACATAATGAACAATCCAGACACAAAGCTTTTCGATCGAATTCTCCAGAAGGTCATAAGCCGTGTATTTTATAGACAGCTAAATTTGACAACCAACCACAAACTTCTACATTTGCAACTCTCAGTCCCTCAACACATTCACACTTGGCCGGGAAGGAGGAAGTCTTTTTCCTTAGCATTACTACAAGAAATCATTTCTAGTATTTCATCATTCTCTTAGTTCTTCAAATGCATCAAGTGCCATGTTCTCTCCAACAACAGGACCATATTACTGATATTCATCCCCTTTTCCCCCAACTAGTTGTAGAAAGATGGGGTATATTAATACCTGCACCACAGAGTTAGTGTGAGGAATAATGGAGACAGTAAGGTAATTGGGATAGTACAGGGAAGGTGCATGAAAGAGCACCTGGCACACAGTGACGCCTCAGTTAAGTACTGTCATCACAATCATTAATGGCTACTTTACTTTCAAATTATCCTTCCAACCTCCAATCCTATAGAACTTGCTCCAGGAAGATTTAATGTCCCCCAAATCAGAATGGGGGCATTCATGTAATTGAGTGCCTTTCCTTCATGGCACTACTTATAATCCAAAATTATGTGTGATTCAAATCATCATAAAAGTAATGTAGATGTCCCTGACTATGAGAGGATTTGTGCAGCTAGCAAGTGTGTTATTGGTCACCATTGTATCTCCAATTTCTGGGGAAATGTTTCACACTTAGTGCTCAAAATACACGCAAACAAGAAGATGAGCACACAACCTCTCCCCCTCTGGCTATGGCACAATAATCACCACCAATTTCCATAAATGTCCTCCATGCTCACTATGTCAAGAGCTCTGAAGGTGGATATTTTAGGAAGCTAATGCATCAAGAAGTCCCATGAATACACACCCCAGTTGCCAGAGTCACCAGTGAGCCAGAATCCAAGGATCCATATTTCTAATCAGACAGTATCCTGAGTATAGGCAGGAAATGGTGGGAGGTCTGTGTTATGGGCTAAATGTTTGCATCCTTCCAAAATATGTATGTTGTAACCCTAACACCCTACATGTTGATAAGTGTGGGAGAGAAGGATATTGAAGCACTGAGCCCAGTTTCCAGGTAGATATGTGACAGAATCAAGGACTATCATCCATGGTGATCTTGTGTGCTCAGAGCAAAAATCAAAGTGCTTAGTATGAGTAAAGGTTTAACAACATGCCTTCACCTTTTCTATGGGAAAACAACTATTGGTCCACCTTTAACACTGCTCATGGGAAAATGACCTTTGATTGATAAACTGTCTCTAGACTGAGCAGATTTGGAATGAACTATGAAAACCTGGTTGAATGGCATAGATTTAGGCTTCACCCAGGGTGAGACCTGGAAGCTGTGAAACAGGTATTAGTTCCAAGCGAGCTTAAGGCTTTTAAACCAGAGTGGCCCCTATACCCAAGAGCGGAGTCTCATTGCAAAGTCAACACGTGTGTTTCTCACGGGAGGACAATCACCCTTGGACTGCCATGAAGACCCTCGCTGAAGAGACACACCTGATATTGCCCTCTGGACCTGCAGTGCTTCCTCTGTGTCATTCTTCTAGGTGAAGTGGCCCACAGTGGTCATGTCAGCTTGATTATCAATCATTGCTATTCAAAGTATGGCCTTTGGAGGGACAGCATTAATGGAACTTGCTAGAAATGTGGTCAGCCCCACCCCAGATCTACTAAATTAGAATCAACATTTTAGCAAGTTCCCCAGGCAACTACAATGCATAATGAAAGTTTCTGAGGCAGTGGTTATAGATGAACCCAGGACCAGGACTGGTAGTCACATGGTATGGGCAGAAGAGTGGACACTAGCCCATTGCTGCCACTCTTAGGATGATCTGACTCATTCCCAAGACGGATCCACATTCATGTGTATTCTTTCTTGTTATTCCTAGCTTTTACTTGTACGTCTTTAATCACATCATTAACGATGCTCTCCAGAGGACTAGTCAGTGTTATTATAACTACTATTAATGAATTAGCCCTGAATCCCATGCAGCAGGCCAACAACTTCCACAGTGTTTTAAACGCATTAACTGCTAGGCTTTATTTCTTCTCCCCTAAAATGATTATGAAGCTTCATTACGTCAAAGGAAGAGAAAGAGGGAAGAAAGGCAAAGCCATGTGGCCTCAAAGCCGGGGTTCCCCTGACCCAGGAAGTCCAGCCTGGATCCTCCCAGGGGTATCCACCAGGAAACCAAAGCCAGGACTTCCCAGGAGGAGTGCCTGCCAGGAGCACCTTGCCAAGCTGGGTCTGGGTTTCAGTCCTTGAAGGACAGGGGAATCGTCTTCAAAGTTCTGCCAGACCTCATCTCTCTCAGTTCCCATACAAGGTTTTCAGCCTGGCCAGTTCTTTGTCAGCTCCGTTAACATTTTCTGACATGAAGGACAGAGGGACTACCCCAGAAAGCTACAGTAAGAGCAAGAAGAAAAGGACACACAGGGCTGGGTCAATCACTCCGTGGGCTAGTTTCAGAGGAAGAAATTGAATTTTATTTCTTATACATTCCACATTCCCTGGAAAGAGGTAGTGAAAGGTAGTACAAGGTTTTCAGACAAAGAAGTAATAGATTTTCCCATAGCCTGTAGGAAACTACATATATTTCTAAAAGAAAGTAAGAGTATAATATATATTCACTCTACTGTAATCACAAGATATTAGTTGTGGTAAATATTATGGACCATTTCTAGTATTTCTTTATTAAAAGCGATATATGTTCATTATAAATAATATGGGACAAAAATATGTAACAAAATTAAGAGACGTATACTTGGTAAAATTGCAGGTGAGTGAGCAGAAGGGAATAAGGACCAAGAAGG